TTTTTGGTCGAAGAGGTCAATTCTCGATAGTTTTGCTGGAAGATGTAAGAACATTTACTGCAGACTGCTGTGTTATCTGTAGTTTGCCTGTTGTCTTGGCAAATGTTCGATATTTTTTTAACATCTTCCAAATAATACATCATGATATCTAACTGAACTTGATATACACTTATATGCACCGTTCACTTATTGCTCGTGTATAGATTATTACCGGTTCGGTCTGCAGGAACTGCACTTAGTGAGGTTTAAAACTTTCATAAAATATTTTATAAATTTATACGTGTATAAAAAGATTTTTAATTGAATCATACACGCTAATAAGTAAATAATATAATTTCAAGTTGAACCATTGATAGAGTAACGTCTAAAATTTTAGCAAAAGATTTGAAAACATCATAGCAGATCTAGAAATATAAATTGCCTGCAGCTCTCAATTGATACCAACGTATTCAGCTCGCAATCTGCGAGTTCTGCATCCACTCTAATGAATTTGTCAAATCGTCCTCTATTCAGATGGATACGGTTTATATTCAGAGGGAAACGAATAGAATTTGACTTTTTAAAACTAACAAGGTGCACAAAAAATATTGAACGGTTATTTAAGGTATTTTTGAAGGACTTCGAGAAATACTCAAAAGTTTTATTATTATTTAAAAGTTTATGAAAAATGGCCATATTTTGTTGATTGGCTACAAATAACACGTAGTTACTTAGTGCTTTGAACTAAATTAAAATTTCATATGAACAATGTAAAAAACCAGAAGCAATCCCAAATCCAGGCAAATAATTATAATTCAAGTTTTGTAACTCTTTATAGTAGAGCTGTGATCTGCTTATAGTTTACCCTCCGAGATGATTATGATACCTTAGGATACACTTGAGAGCAAACAACATCAATACACTTGATATATTCGATACAATACATAGTTTCGATACTATGTATAGTATCGAATATATTCTAGTTATCTATTGATTGAACATTTTTTTTTGTAATTAAACACCAAATTCAAGAGATATTAAATTCAATTCTCCGTACCCCAATATCACAACATATTCAGTTTAAGAATGTATCTTTAAATTGTAATTTTTTGTTGTTAAATGGACAAAAACTTTTGGTGCTTAGGGATTCGATGCTGCGTCTTCTAGTTTCGCGCGCAGACACTTTGCCAAGTAAGCCAAGAGGCCGCTTCGAGTTCAAGTGCAACATATCTATCAATACAAGTGTTTTTATAATGACATCTGAATGCTATTGTTCCTTATAACGTTAGACTTTGAATGTAAAATAATTATCTAAACAGACCCACAACTTTGTTATGTTTGCTTATGTTCAGTGAGAAAGAGGACCTACGCGAGTAAGTCTGAAGGTTTAGCGAGATACACGCGGGTGGTTTAACAAGGTCCCGTATAATGTTTATCGGCACTTGTCCACCGAAGGTACTTGCCTTGCTCCCCCCGCCATTAGCCCGAGTGCGTTACACGAGTGGCGGTTTTAACAGCCTCTTTGTGTAGTACGCTTTTTCCGTATGCCGTTTTGTTTATTACGATCAAGGCTAAATTCTGCTGCGGCACCTAAAAGCCCATCATATCCTTTAACCTTTTCACACCGACTCTGGATGTGTACATTGTTCATCGTAAAGTGGTCATATGAATAATTAAAAAATAAATAAAAAATACCTCGTAACATTATAAACATCTTCAACAAATAAACTCATTAATAAGGAATGGTGTGAACAAAAGAAATTATTAAAAAAAAGTAAAAAAAAATAATTCAAATATATAGGCAAGTACGAAATGTAATCTTCGACAAAATCGATGCATTTATTTTACAGCATCTATGGCCATAAACGAGAAAAGGAGACAGCCTTGATGCATTGATTCCAGAGTCGATTGAAAATACTCTTAGATATCACCTTTTCTGTCTGTATGATTTCAGACGCTGATAGTGTCTGTACTATAACCTATAAGAAACACAGAATTTCAAAAAAATTAAGCAAATACCGATATCCCACGGAAAATAAAAATAGTTGCCAAAAACATCGTGTGTTCCTTATGCTATACTTGTAAAGGGCCTATTACAGAATGGCGCAGGCTCCAAACCTGAGAGCGACGAAAAATTATTTTGCAACGATTTTACTTAGACATTTTTCAATTTCATCTCTTGTGCAGAGATTGGCACTAAAAATTAAAAATTAAATAAATATAAGATTGAATAACAAAGTACTAGACGCCGAATGTCATGATCAACGAGTAACGATACATCAGTAACGATACCGATCTGATCAACGCCACATGGCTCTATGCATTATTATCACTATAATGACCTAGATCAATGCCTGAATAATTGCAACAGAACTTTCCAGGTCAATCCAAATTCCATTACAGCCATAATTTTGTACAATTAGTTCTGAAAGGTACAATATTCGTAAATGAAAAAAAAATCAAAATTGCTTTTATTCATAAAGGCTTGTTTTGATATTATTAAAGAAATAACAATGACTTTTTTTAATCCCTTACAAATTCTCCGCCCTGACTTAATCTTTGAGTAAAATCTCACGGTACACTAAATAATTCAAACTCTTTTGATCGGCCGAGTCGGAAGGCTTCTGTACAAAGTTCCTAACGTTTCTATAATGATAGCAGAGTGTTTAATTATTATCTCCCTACTACATGGAAAGTTTTGAGTTAATGAATTTTCATTTTATGTAGAACTTTGTCGACAATAAGTGGAATGCTTGGTGAATGGCGTGGAACTCCGAAAGTTATACAATAGCGCAGAAATTTTCCAAAGTTTCCAGTCTAAAGGAGCTTCGGCTTCAAATTTCCTAGGGATTTTCTTGTGTCTTCTTGAGACATTCTAAGTTGTTGTACAAAAGATTACAATTTTCTGGAGGATTATGTTATATAAATGTCGCATGTTGAAACTTTTAGAAACTTGGTATTATTCGGTCAGTATGTATAATTACAATTGATCGCGAGTTATATGGTTATGATATTAATTTAAGAAAAGATATTGTACTTTGTCATCAAGAGCTACATAAAATTTTTAACTAGCGATATTTTATGCATAACAATGAAACTCAATAACAGCTCAATTAAACTCATAATACACCGTTTTTTTATTCTTTATTCATATGAATTCGATTAATTCTTGTTATTGTATTAGATTTCCGACACATTTTTTTTATGCGAAAAGTTGTCAAACGAGCAGACGGTTCACCTGATGTTAAGTGAATACCGCCGCCCATGGACATCTGCCACATCCGAGGGTTACAGATGCGTTGGCAACCTTTTGAAAATTGGACAATTAAAATAACTTGCGGATTGGATCACTTATATTAGGTCTTTACCTTTGAAAGTGATGTTTTGTATGAAATAAGATTAAGTATATTCAAACTTTATTAATTTTTGAGGTGTCGTGTAAAAATCAGCTGGACGGTATGCAATAAACTATTCAGAGGCATTTTGTATTGTCTCGCGGGAATTGATTTTTTTCCCTCTAAAATGGATGAGGGAGAGCTTCCAACCTCATCTTTGTTTTCAGTTGTTCTCAGTACCAATCTGCAGTGCTGCTGTGATGAATCACACCGGCACTAGACCACACATCAGTGACTGTCACCTTTCTAGGAGTCATTTTTCGTTTCGGGCAATGCTAAAAAGCTTATATACTTGATCTTACCAAGTTCCAGTCCATTTTCGGCGCACGTAACATTTCGGTTCAAAATTCCTTTATTTCTCTCGACGCATACGTTGCGCCTGTGATCGTTAAGTTCGTGGGTCACCCATCAAATCTTTAATTTATCATTGTTGACCAAAACTTCCAGAAGACCATCAGGTTCATTTGAAAATTTCCAGAACGGATCCGGCCAAACCAATAACGGGTTGCGCGTTAGTTTCTAAAGTTTTCTCTGTAAACGTTGTGATGTTACAAGCCGTTTGTTCCGCGTTAGTGATAAGACATTCCGCATATTCCATAATGTCACGAATTTAAAGTATCCATTATGACGAAAATTGTTCAAATGAAATGAAAATACAAAGTTAATCAATAGACAAAAGATAGAGATAGATAGAAATTGGATAGATAGATTTGTAAAAGGACTTTCATGGTTTTAAAACAAAATTAATTTGAATTTCGAAACAAAATATTGATCCGATTATGAACCCGAACAATATTTTTTTTTGTTTGAAATGGCCAGTACTGATGAACGGCAATATCATAGGTAAAGACGTATTATAAATATTAATAATTAAAATGTGTGTAATTGAAATTGTGCACTTACAATGTTGACGTTGTGATAAGATTTACATTCATCTTTAATTGGCTCTTATCCACTTTGACCTGTCACACCAGAGAAAAACGTGAAAAATATAACCGTCTATTTCTATCAACGACTGAGGTGTAATAGTCTTACTGAGCTTTTTTATCATTAATAAGTTCTAAGAAACATTAAAATGCACAGCTCCATATTATTATGTTTCGAATTTTTTGGTTAATGTTGTTTTTATTTTTGGTTATTAAAATGAAATTAATTACGCTTGTTTTAAAAATTCTTAATAGAATGTGTAATTTTCATATTTTCTCACATTTTAAAGGGGCGTTTGAATTAATTAGTTTTTATATTTTGATGGACTATTGATTTAAGTATTATCAATAAAACGTCAGTTAGGAAAGGCGAGTATAATCTTCCAAATATTATAAGGCATTATTATTATAAACCTCGGAAAAATTAACAAAAGCATGGAACAAAAACAATTTCTAATTCTCGTTTTAAAATCAAAACTGTTTAGCTAAGGAGAACGTGTTCTTATACAACAGCGAATTCATTACGAACACAAGAAAAATAAACAGCCGCAAGTTACACGAAACTATTTACTGAAGCGCAATGTTCCGTCCAACTTGCTGCGAAACAATAAACAGCGCGAATTTACTTGGAAATGAACGCACCTGTTGGGAGGGCAGGTCGCCAATCCACTCCACCACAGAACAACACCACCGAACGTTAGAGGCGCGCGGACTTGCGTTCGAAGTTGATGAGAAGTTCCGCTTCGCAGACGAGTGTCATTTCGCGCGCTGAGATCGCCCGCCGCGCGGGGTGTCCCGATAATGCGTCCGCCTCGATTGGCGCCCGAAGCCGGACTGCTACGGGGATGCTGGGTGGCGTAGCGACTCGCTCTACGCCGTATCTCGGCCACTACGCTCACGCTACGACGTTATTTTACGTAATACAATGTCCTTTTGAAACGGAAACGGGATACTTTTTCTTATTAACTGTAATGGAAATTGGAAGAGCCATGAACCCTTTTTTATTTAAGTAATTGGCTCGCGTTTTGTTTATCGGGGACAGTCCTTACTTTTGTGAAACGCTGTTAATGACGATGAAAGAAGAGCCTCCGTAGCTTAAAGGCATTTTTACAATGCAGTGTCGTGTAGTGACTAATGTCTATTGATGTCATAATAAATGTAGATTTAGTTAAACATTTGCTATTCATCATTTAAATTTCCTCACGTTAGCCGGATTTTACAGACTCTAGACAAAAAAACCGTAGAACCGTTTTGTTTCACTTTTCACATTAAGTAGTTGTTATAGTTGAGAGGTAAAAACTAATAGTATAAATTGTTAGAAGCATTGAAGTCAAAGTCAAAATTTCTTTTTTTAAGTTTTAATAAAACATTATTTATTTATTTATTTATTTATTTAATCTTTATTGCCAACTTTCAGTAAAACAAGGTAACAAAGGGCGGACTTAATGCCCAAAGGCATTCTCTACCAGTCAACCCAGGATGTGGTGATAGTTTATGGTAGGTGCAGCAAAAGATGCAAGAATAATAAAATTTTAAGTAAAGAGAATATATATGAAAATAATATTATAATTGGATACAAATCATATATTAAGTTATATACATGCATATATATATACACATATATATATATATATTCAAATATTTAAATATATATAGCTTGCACATAAAGCTGAAGATCGTCAGCATACAAATGATACGAACAGTTCAAAAAAGCAATAAGAAAGTTAATAAAAATAGAGAAGATTATGGGAGACAGTATGCCGCCTTGGCGTGCCACCAGATTCAACATCAGCCCAAGCCGAGCTTTTTTGCCCCAAGGTAACTGACTGCTGACGCCCACGAAGATAAGATGAAAACCATTCTACAGCAGAGTCTGCAAAATTAATATGGGAGAGCATGGAAAGGAGTATATCATGGTCGACTGTGTTAAAAGCGTTTGAAAAGTCCACAAGCACTAACACAGTTACCTTTTTATTTTCCATGCCTTGCCTAATGTCGTCGGTAACTTTGATTAAGGCTGTGGTAGTGCTGTGGCCAGAACGAAAACCAGACTGATAGATACTCAGTAGGTTATGTTTATTTAAAAATAAGGAGATTTGCTTGTGAACACAGGCTTCCAGAACTTTTGACAGAAAGGGCAGAATTGATATTGGACGGAAATGGTTCGGTTGCGTAGGATTAGGAACTTTAGGAAGAGGTCGGACATAGGCTGTCTTCCAGCAAATAGGATATTGACCATTTTTAAATATTTTTTTTGTTTTAAGCTCTTATTGAACGTCAAAAACTACCACCGGTTCAATAAACTGTATACGTATCAGTAGTCGCATCAAAATACAAGCACATAACTGCTAAATATGTAACTATTTAGAAGTGCACATATTTTATAGTTAAGCGAAATTTCAAAACGGTACTACGGAATTTGAATATTTTGTGACATGCGGTAGGGCTGCTACGCAACAGTTTTCACAAAGAACAGGTCCGACCGGGTTAGTAGCACGACTTCACAGAAGTTCTACGGATATTGCAAATATTCATACTGTACAGGCAAAGTCGTACATTTTCTATTCTATTATTTATAACAAAACTGCACATGCGACACATTAACACTTGCAAGCGCCCGTATACACGGCCTAGTTTTATACTTTAGTTTGTAATTATAATTTTAATATTAACAGTGCAGTAAAATCATTCATTGACAGCGGTCGGTTTATTTGACATTCATAGCCGCCAACCAATTGACATAAGCTCATCTATCCCACATTGACATAAGGGTGTGGTAGTATACGCAATACAACGGAGGCGGTTATCACTTAACATCAGGTGAACAGTCAGCCCACTTACTACATTTATAAAATTGAGTTTTAATGAAAACACTTACCGTTTCTGATAACATATTTAACATTACAGAAATACAAAAATACAGAAGAAACTTTTTACGGCGCTAAACCAGAAGGCGCGGCCTTCAATTAAATCAAATTTTCATCTTGAGTGCAGAGCTTAGCACTAAATATAAATTAAAATCTTAAAAAAGTTTATTTTATGTTTTTAAATACAATGGGTTAATCTACGTCACGACCGTTTCGGACTTACGTGTTATCGCGGTTCGGACATAACAATATGAAGGCGGAAAACAGCGTAATTGAAATGAGCGGCACGGAGCCCGGTCGTTTGGAAACTCTGGATCATCCTCGATAAACTGCGCCGAGTAATTGGTCTGGCGCAGAGAAATTCAATTGCTTCTAAATGAGCCCACTCTATGAAAGCAGTCGGAATGTTATTTAAGGCGAGTTAATTAAACGTCTCCAGAAGTGAGACGCTCCGTGCGGCCACCGAGTTATTAATTAATTAGATCGCTGTTGAGGAGACATCGCGGCTGCAACTTGCCGTTTCGCTCTAATGCGGGCTTTGAATAAACACAGACTTTTAATTGCTCATTTTCTTGTGTTCAATAAACATTAAGGTTTCGTTTTAAAACGATTTGTCTGCTTTACGATGTTACTTCCAGTTGACGTCATTTTTAATTAAAACACCAATAAGTTTCAATGAAACGAGTTTTAATGAGCAAATAATTACAGACTCACATATTTATATATACTATAAATAGATACTCAACCTTATTATCATATTAAGTGTATTAAATATCGAGAATAGTAATAGAAAGCTACGTTGACGTGATAGCGACGTAATAGTGAGTAGGTGTGAAGGCCGTATTATCCTTCAAGTGGTGGCGGATACTTGGGCTGCAGTCGTAATTTGAAACGTTTTAACAAAGCGTTTTCAGTGAGTATGCAGCACTTACGGTCCTCTCCCACGGAAGTATGGTGAATCGGTGAAAATTATCTATAATGTGCTGCAAAACATTAAAGCAACATGTTAACTTTTGAAATTTTTTTTGCACTCACCGTTTACGCAACCACAACTTTAATATCGAAACTTCAATGTTAATCTTTGTTAAACTGAGTCGAATTCTAATTTAAATATCTTTATTCAATATAGAAGCATTACACTAGCTTATTGATTGTCAAAACGCTACCATGCACCGGTTAGGAAAAGAAAAGCCACTGACCTGAGAAGAACCGGCGAAACAAACTCAGCGGGACATATTTTTCAACCATTATTTGACAAGAAACATGTTTACAATGAAGTCCGCTTGAAAGAGCCTTGAGCGATCAATCATTTTCCAGGGTGTGTTATCATTTAAATAATCACTAACATTATATTAGCCTTTCACGCGCAAACGTTCCTTTACAATTTTTTAAAATTTAAAAATTGATACATTGTGGACCTTTTCTGTGATTATGTTGTAAAAACATATTATACATTGTACCATAAAAGAACTACTTACATCATTCTACGTTTCTGGTTTTTCGCATCTTAGTTTTGGTTAGAATTAAATTATGTTTTTTCCTAGTATTTAAATAATGAACATTCGCATGTGTTGTGTACCACGCAATTGTGTTCGATGGGATCGACTGTTCCGACGTAAAGTGGAAGTGTTATATTTCTGCGTTTAGCCTGGTGAGTGAGGTAGCCGGGGAGCACTTTATTAAAAGTTGGCAACGCATCTGCAACGCCGGGTGTCTATGGGCGGATGTTATCACTTAACATCAGATGAACCGCCAGCTCGTTTGCCATTTTCTCACATAAAACAAATGTTTTACAACTACAAACCAATTATTATAATGGAGTGGAAAGTTCATAGCGGCTAATAGACTGGCAAATTTAATGAAACATTGAACTGCCATTCCCTTACTTATTATAAATAGTTATTGTCATGAACACAGTAGATATTTAAGTAAGTAATAATATTGTAACAAGATTAATTACGAAGAGCAACTTGAACTTTGAGATTAGAATGGAATCAGCTACAAATGTGTACGCTGTTAGTAATTCAATTGCAAACATACACAGCGAGTTCAAATTTGTGATGGCTTTGAACGCGCATTATCGCATGCCAATAATAAATGATTTAAGTTTACATGACGGATAATTATTTGTTTTCATCGTCAGACATAGTTAAAAGTTTCCACGTTGAACATAAATGGTCGAAGGACCACGCAATAGTCTTCGTTGTTGCTCGAATGGGCAGGTCCGTTCGGGTAAGTACCACGACCTCACAAAAAACCAAAGTGAAGTGGCAGTTTCATACGTCTGCATTTCTTGCGGTGAGTGAGGTAGCTGGGGCCCACTTTATTTAAAGGTGGCAACGCACCTGCAACCCTACCCTGGTTAGAGTGTTACAAATGTCAATGAGTGGTGGTTATCATTTAACGTCAGGTGAACCGCCAGCTCGTGTGCCACCTTCTATTCTAGAAATGCGCCAATCGAGGAATAGAAAATGAATGCTTATCATCTATATAGATTATTTTCAAGGCTCAACACGCGTTATTTGTTTTTTTTTTATATTCTATTTCGCTTAATTTGTAAATCAACAATAACTATACCGTTCTTCTAGGGCATTCTAATTTCATTAGTAAGGTTTTAATTTGTTGTGAATGCCTACGATATTCACATGTTATGTATTAACGAGATATTGTAAAGTGGTATACGATTTATTACTTTGTACGAGAACAATAAAATATACCGATCCATATAAAGCGGCAAACTATGCATTGAAACTAAGGAAATATAGAACATGTAGAAAAAGTACAAAAAGATTGTCGCCGCTCCGCTGTGGGAATCGAACCCCCGTCATTCGCGGCCCAACGCTCTAGCCACTGAGCTAAAGGGCTGATAGCCACAGCGACGAAAATCTTAACGCCTTCATTCTACATTGTTATTTAGCATTGGAAGCAATGTTTGGCGCATCTATTGTTATATCCTTTCGTACTTTTTCTACATGTTTTAATGTTCAATCCACAGTGAAAAATTCGCTATTCCGACACGATGAGTGGCAAGGAATTTTCAGAAGAATGGATTTATTACGTCGGCATTGAGTACCGCATGGGACGAGAAACTCGAAGCGTTCCTGAAGATATGGGGGAGCAAGAGTGTTTTTTGAGTATAGTTTAGGTACATTTCAGTTAATTAGCGACAAAACAATTTATGTAGACACTAACGTTTTGTACGCTTATATTTCTTAAGAATTAAATTGTTGTTATTGTTATATACTAGCTTTTCGCCCGCGGCTTCACTGGCGTTGAAGCCCTTAAATAAATATCTTTCCCGTTTAAGAACCCTTTATAACCCTTTTTCCGATTAAAAAATAGCCTATGTCCTTTTTCAGGCTCTAGCCTATCTGTATACCAAATTTCATTCAAATCGGTTCAGTATTTTTGGCGTGAAAGCGAGACGGACAGACAGAGCTACTTTCGCTTTTCGCATGTGTAATTGTACCTTAATGAAAATGTATTTCTTCGGACTGTAATGCGACGAATACTTTGTAAATTACAGTGAATGTTAATACCACTATTCTGATACATTAATAATCCGATATGTATAAACAGTACAAAGTATATTCAAAATAAAACTTTGTCGTTCGCAACAGATAACGGGCGTTCTCTATTTTTTAAAAATGATGTGAGGATGTCTGTTTCCTATGGAGTACAAAATGGTTGAACTGATTTGGATGAAATTGTCAGAAAATCGTCAGACTACCGGCGATAGGGGCGATCATGTTAAGTTTCGTAGTGATCGGATCAACAAACGTATTTTTTAATAATTAGTGAATAATCATGTAGTGAAAAATATCTAAACTATAAAATATTACCAAAAAGGTTTATTTTCTTGAATTCAGGTTCATGGTAGAAGTAAATATTTGCAATTACGTGAGGTCTAGAATACTTTATAGCAGCTGTTACCGGCCAGTTATCACCTTGGAACCAATTATTGTACGGTTGGCGCGAAGTAGTTTCTCTTATGTAAGTTAATTTGGCGAAATATTAATTAATATAGAATTGACGACGGTTGATGTTAAAATACTAAAGTAATTAAAAAGTTCCTAGTTGTTGAAATAGTTACTTAATAAAATTAGTTTGCGAATGTCGGATGGCAATTTCACGCAGCACGGTCTAATGGCCGTGGAATGTGACCCTAATTAAAGTGTGGGCACCGAAGCCCTGCCGCAGCTGGTGAGTCATCTAGAATTGTTTTCGTAAATTAGTGAAATTGTGGTCTTTACAAATAATATAAAACTTTTAAAAATTTCACTTAACACAATAAATTTCAGCTCCGAACCCTTGAAATTTTTCTATGTGAATAATTGGCTAGTGAGTAGGCGGTTCTCTTGATGTTAAGTGAAACTGCTACCCATGGATATCTGCAACACCTGAGAGCTTGCAGTTGCATTGACAACCTTTAGTACAAACGGGCCATAGTTACCTTCCTCTCTAGACGAAACGCGAAACTATAATGCTTTCGGACGGGCGTGCCTGTTTGTGCAACAGCAAAAGCTTTGTGCCCTGACCTTTGACAGATTTTTGACAGTCTTCGATCTTTTTGTTTCGCTTCTCTTATTATGATAAAATGGCTAATCTGAGTTCTGCAATAAAAAAATGGTAAATTTTCCAGTTTGGCATCAAACCTGGATTTTTGTTTATTGAACTTCGTATTGTTTATTCTTTCTTTAAATCTTGATATATGTGAACCATCCTTGTATAAAACGACCAACTGGACTGTATTAAAAATATTATTTCTCAATTTATTTTTGGCGGTGGTTACCACTTAAGGTGGGTGAACCAGCTCGCTAGCCATTTTCTCATATAAAAAAACCTCATTCGTCAGTCGGGTCACTATTATGCTAAGCACCGCAGCTACTGCTATTAAGCTTTGCTAAAAACTTTGCAGATAAAACATGGTTTTCGTTTCTACCCCTTGTAGCAAACACACTCGTCGACCCTCATTCGTTGAGTGATTTAAGTCGTGCCTCCAGTGCGTGAGCGTTAATGGCTTCAT